CAAATCACACTCACAATCACATGTACATTGCCGAAATCAAAGCACAAAATCAAACGGACATAAATCGTAAAGTGCCGAAAGACAATCTAAAGTACAGTGAGGCAGACGTTTCTATCGCTTCGAAACCAAATGTCGTATGCAAATAATATGCAAACTAATGCCCAATGGATTAAGTAAAAATGCGGGAAAGTGTGTTCTTACGTCTCGGGTCCTGTCTAACGAGAAACAGACTGGCCCGATGCGGACAGGACAACACGCGAAAGCCCTTGTTAGCAGGCAGGATAAAATGGCACCCCCCCAAAAAAAAAAAAAAAAAAATCAAAACAGGGAAACGGGGTTTGGGTTGGGGTTGGCGAGAAGGAAGAGGGGGTTGACTTAATTATTGGAGCATGATATAATAAATGTATTATTTCCCTCTTTGTCTTAATAGTCGCAGGAGCCAATCTATTTCTTTATTTTGGTAAATTACCTTCGTGGCATTACTGATCCCCTGCCCCAGGAAGCTATTGTTCGACGAGATTGCCCGTCTGTCTGCACCTGCTTGTCATCGGAGACTCCAAAAATAAACCCAGGATCGTTTGCTAGAATATTGGTCACTAGGGCACATAATCTAGATTATTTCCTTGCCTTTTCTTCCTTTTCCAGAGGAATTGCCAGGGACCCCGACCTCTGTAACATTCTGTAGAGTTTACTTCTTCTTTCAGGGGAGATAACACGTGTGTTGGTATTACTTTTGTTGTAGTCTCCTGTCTTTTTTCTTTCATTTTTACTTTTCATAATTTATCAACCCCAAGGACATTATCTTTTCTCTTCTTTTTCAATAAGCCGTTTTGCGTCGCAATGATTCTTTGTGTGTGCAAAGAAGAGTCACACAATGTGTTTGAACTGGTGATTTAAAAATTGCCTGAAACATTTACATGATGTAGGTAAAAACAATACATTAGTCAATAGAAATTTTTGGTAGTGTTTGTTTAATACCATTTTTAACGCTTAACGGTTATTTAACATGAAATTAAGGTATATATACCCTCAGGACCAAACCAATTAGGCTAGGAGCCGGCAGCTTAGTCTATCAAATGAGCTAACGAAGGTTCCTATGCTTGATATATTTAGAGAAAACACACAGAAAGTAAAAAGAATCATTTTGAATGAAGTATTCAATTTCTTATTTCGTTTTTTTCTGTTGACTTGAGTGCTACATTTTCCATAAATAATTGAGGTGAACATAGTTTATCCTCCTATGTAAGCTAAATGAATACACAATTCGATTAGGATCATTGAGAAGACATTATGTCACATTTATACAACTATTAACAGTGAAAAGTCCGACCGGTTCAGTTGACACAATCGATACGCGAAATAACAGAAATCAGGTAGATCTAGTGTTTGTTTTTAAAAAAGCAGAATCAGACGAAGTAACATGTTAATAAAATCGTCAGCTTTCCACTTGATTTTACGAAACCCCATAATCATATCATTGACGCAACTGGGGACAAACATTACTAGAACGAGCAAAGAAGCGAAATGTGTTTGATTTACATCTGTAAAACAAGTGTGTTGCATGATCCATCCAACCCACCTCCGCCCATTTCTCTCTGCAACGAAACAACGGGAAACGTACAACAATGTCACTCGCTGCACAAAAAGGTTGTAAAAGAGGGTCTTAATTACCAATAATGACACCTTGATATTATCAATAAACACAGAGAAACTGCAACATTCTGGACTCAAAAGCCTCACGCATGTTAGCCAACTTCAAACGTTACATTATCCGGGCAAGCCTTTGATTGTCGACACTACGACACAAACGGATCAATGAGGATTATCGAACCTTCTCTGCGATTTCGATCAAATTGATAATTATACCTTTGAACTATTCAATAAAAAATTAGCGGCAATCTTCGCCAGATTGCCTTTTTCTTCTTCTTCCGATCATGCATAGCTAAAAAAGAGGGATTTTTTTTATCTGAAGTAGCTTGTTTTTCTTGTTTTGCCGAATCGTCTGTTGAAGTCTTTGGTGTGGTAACCTCGAACAATGCACCCCCAGCTGTTTGATCACGTGACATATATCGCCTCAAAGATCTGAGGAGATCTGACAGCTATAATTACCGATCGGTTTTGGTTTGAAGAAGCGGATGACACATGCTTAAATGTTGATCTCCTCAAGGAACAACAGGAACATCTTCACTTGTTTTCCATGATCAAAGCAGGATAATAAAGATGCTAATGAAAAAATAATATCGGTTGTTATTTCTGATAATTGGGACTCCGTTGTCATTTCTCGTATTTGGGAAGTCGTTACGGGAAAGGCCTAGCAAAATTCAAGGCCACACACAGCCCTTCCAAGCAGATATCTTATTGCAAAAAAGTAAAAAATTTGGAAATAGAAATTGATGTTGGTTATGAGGGGGCACATCAAGCAGCATTATAATAGTTAATATCTTCTGCTTCCGAAAAAGATATAAGGATTTAGGTGCGGTGTTGTGTAACCCCACCAGAGCTTACAAGCCATTTTTAATATCTTCTGCCATTATGTAAGACCTTTAGAGGCCTTTCTCACAACACGGGGTGAAGTATTAATCCAAGTTCTAGCAGCCAAAACAAGAAACATCCATTTATTTATTTACGACTAGTTCTTTTGACATACCCTTGTATATCTGTGTGAAACGATGTTTTCTGATGCAAAAAGTTGCCGTTTAATTGAAGTGTTTTTATTCCTAAAGAGATAAATATGCAGTACATCACTCACTGTACTCAGTGGTGCAATAGGCTCTTTTCCACGTACGTAAAAGACACCATTTCGATTCGGAAAAGGGAAACCTTATAGAGAACACTCGTTTCTCCTTCTATCGAGTTGTAAGCAAGCAGGTCTTTCAAATATTCTTATCTGTTTTTATGGGGTCCTAAAACAATTGCAACAACAACATGATCCCTGTTCCAACTCCATCCACTGTCAAGAATTGCCCTGCAGCTTGGACATGGATGCTGCAATAACTCACTCCCTCAAGTCTGTGTTGTTTTTGTTGGAGTCCTTTCAAAGGTCACCAATTCGACGCCAAGTGACACCTTGGCGGCACAATGCAGCCATTACGTCACACGTATTTTACGCGATGTCTTGAGGGGTCCCCCGCAGATCTTGCATGCCCCCCAAAACAAGCTCGCTAACGAGATGTCTAAGGGGGTCTATTGATCCGGTCTGGGTGACTGCGGCACCGACGATATAGTCCTGTTACAAATCGAGAGGAGGTGGGGGAGGGGGAGTGGGGAAGTGACGCTCTGCAAGCCAAGATATTATCAGGGATAGAGTCGTATGGAAGTAGTGGGAGACAGGCAATCACGGTCAAGAAAATATTCGGGGGAGGAGACGATGCTAGATTATGGGTTTGGGGGCGTGGGGTGATTGGGAGGTAGGAGGGTTCATTTCTTTCCTTTTCTGTTCTAGTGTACTGGGGAGGAGGGTGAAGGTTAATGGAGAAGTGGGTGTGAAGTGTAAATGTGAGCATCTCTCTTTGTGTCTTGGTATTTGAGGATGAGAAAAGAAGAGAGAGATAGATAGATAGATAGATAGATAGATAGATAGATAGATAGATTGG